CTAACTACACCCCTGTGGCCAGATGATTTTGATGAGGGTGCTAATACTGTCCAATGGGGAAAAGGATCTTTTCAATAAATGATCTTGAGAAGATGGATATCCATACAAAAGAATGAATCTGAAGGGCTGAGGTTGTGACTAAGTTGTAGAGCGCTTGCCTAGCATGCACTGGGTTCCATCCCCAGCACCACATAAATAAAACTAAAAAACAAGCATTTATTAAAACAAAGAAGTATATATATATATATATATATTTTTAAAAAAGAATGAATCTGAGTCTTTGTATCATCTTCAAAAATTAACTCCTAATGGATCAAAGATCTAAATGTAAGAGCTAAAATTATAAAAATCTTAGAAGAAAATGTAGTATGAATGCTTCATAATGTTGGCTTTGACAGTGTTTTCTTAGCTATGATAACAAAAGTATTCATAATAACAAAAAACAGATAAATTGGACCTCATGAGAGCTGAAACATTCTGTGTATCCAAGGACATTATCAACCACATAATCCAGCAATTCCACTTCCCAATACAGGCACAGAGGAGTTGAAATAGTCTGTCAGAGAGAGCCAAACCCCCACATTCATGCAGCATTGCCAATAGCCAAGTGTCCGTCAATGGATGAACAGATAAAGAAAAGGTGGCTTATGTTCACAGTGGAATGCTGGCCAGCCTTTCAAAAAAAGGGCATTCTATCACTGTGACAACACAGGAAGTGACATAAACTGGGAACAGGAAGCGGGACCCTGCAGGATCTCACCTGTATGTGGAATCTACAAATGTTGAATTTCTAGAAGTAGAAGGCAGAATGGGGGTTACCAGAGACTGGGTGGTCAAGGAGGTCAGAGGGTTTGAAGTTTCAGACAGACAAGAGGAATATGTTTTGAGATCTACTGCTCAGCAGGATGGGAAAGTTCTGGAAACAGACAGTGATGATGGCTGAACAAGAATATGAACCTGGTTAATGCTGCTGAATCATACGCTTCAAGGGGGCCAAGATGGCAAATCTTAGGTTGTGTGTATTTTACCACACACCAAAAAAAAAAAAAAAAAAAGTGAACAGAAAAGAATCTTGAACCAGGCACATGGTGCACACCTGTAGTTTTGATACTTGAGAGGCTGAGGCAGGAGGATTGCAAGTTGAGGTCAGCCTGGGCAACGTAGCAGGAACTTGTCTCAAAATAAAATAAAAAGGGGTGGAGATTTAACTTGGTGGTAGAGTACTTGTCACTTTTGCCACTTGCCTAGCCCTAGTCCAACCCTCAGTACTGTCAAAAAAAAAAAAAAAAAAAAAAAAAAAAAGAAAGAAAGAAAAGAATCTGGTGCGAAGAGAGTAAATGCCAGACTCAAGATAAGAAGCTCAGTGCAGCTGGCCCTCTGCATCCACGGACTTGACACCAGTGGATTCAACCAACTGCAGAAGGAAAACAGGGTCCGACAAAAATTGTGTTCTCACTGAAAATGTACAGAGGTTTTTTCTGTTATTATTCTTTAAATGATACCATATAACAATGATTTATACAACATTTATATTGTAGGAGATATTTTTAAAAATCTAGTGATGATTTAAGGTGTATGGAAGTTACTGGGCATGGTGGTACATGCCTGGAATCCCAGCTACTTGGGAGGCTGARGCAGGAGGATCAAAAGTTTGAGGCCATCCTGGGCAATTTAGTGAGAGTCTGACTCAAAAATAAAAGGGCTGTGGATAAAAATAACAGCTCAGCTGTATTGCACTTGCCTAGTATGTGTGAAGCCCTGGGTTCTAGCCCCAGTACTGAAAAGTAAAATAAAAATAAAAAGGGCTTGGATGTAGTTCAATGGCAGATCTCTTGCCTAGTAAGCATGAGGCCCTGGGTTCCATTCCTAGTGCTACAAAATAAAGTGTAGGGAATAGGGAGAATGTTGCTCATATGCAAACACTATGCCATTCTTATTTATTTTTTGTTCTGGGTATTGAACTCAGGGCCACTTTACCACTGAGCTAAGTCCCCAGACCTTCTTATTTTTATTTTTTGTTTTGAGACAAGGTCTCACTAAGTTCCTTAGAGCCTTGCTAAGTTGCTGGAGACTGGCCTTGAACTTGTGATCCTTCTGTGGTAGCTTCCTAAGCTGCTGGGAAGAATGCCATTCTTTTTTTTTTTTTAAAGAGAGAGAGAGAGAATTTATATATATATTTTAGTTTTTGGCGGACACAACATCTTTGTTTGTATGTGGTGCTAAGGATGGAACCTGGCGAGCGAGCTACCGCTTCAGTCACATACCCAGCCCCAAGTATGCCATTCTTTATAAGGCTCTAGAGCATCCTTTGGTATATGCAGGGCTTCTGGAAGCAGTTCCTCATGAATGCAGAAGTTGACTATACATTTCACTGACAGCCTAAACTCCGAACCACTTTGCAATTCTGCTTATTGCATTAGTGTCTTCATTGATATTCTTTTTCCTGTAACTTTTATCCATTTTGTATACCATTGATAAATCCCCCCAGTAAGATGTAGGGGGGCAGAGGGTCACTCACCGATCACAGTCAGCATGATGGGGTTGCTCTTTTGGGAAAAGATTTGGTTGGAGACTTCACAATTATACTCTCCCTCATCTGTCTTCTTGACCGAGTTTATGGTGAGGATGCTGTTGTTTAGGGACAGCTGCATCCTGTCTGTGAGTGGCAGGGTCTTGTTATTGAAGAGCCACTGGATGGAGATTTCAGTGTCATTTGGGACGCAGGTCAGCTCCACAGACTCCCCTTCCGCCACCGTGGTGTTGCTAGCTGTGAGGTGGGGCGGTGTCACTGGTTCTGTGGACAAAAAGGAGGGTACAATGAGGTGGTCCTTCCTCAGAGAACTTAGCCAGTGCTCAGGGCCCAAGTGAGTTGTGTAAGCTGGTCCACAAGATGGCCCTGACCCTCTGCAGAGTTTGGGTGTCATCGTTCTGGTGACAATGTAAGGAAAGGGCTGACCCTCCTTTGACCTCAGATCACTCTGAGGGTCCCTGGACATCTCTATAGGATCTGTCCAGCAAGCTCATCCTCAGGTGGAACAATTTTTCCATCCACTCTTGTGCAAACTTTTTCTAGAACTTTCTGTGCCTCTAGAAGGTCAGGCTCTCAGGCAGGAAGTAGCTTTACATTCAGAGGCAAAGTGTATAGTTTTCATTAAATAATTTGTCAGGGAATTAAGATGGTCCAGCCCGTCTTCATGACCTTAGTGACTGCAGAAATTCCAATCTACAGGATTTGTCAGTTTGAAGAGGACTTTATTTCCTGACCTGTGGATTAAATATCCCAGTGAAAGAAACCTGTGGAGATGAAGGTCACAGTGTTGACCAACCCTGGCACGCTTGTTCTCCTTGCAAACACATGCTCTCAGCACCGCCCTGTCTGGCCTCGCACGGACTCTGCAGGTGAGGCTCCTGTCCCTCCAGGTGTGCGTCTCTGCTATTCTCCGTGGTGCATGACATGGGCTTGTGTTCCCGACCCTATGCACCTGGGACTTCAGAGCCAGGACACAACTCAGAAGCATCAGCCCCCAGGCTGGCTCTTTCCCTCCCCTGCTCCTGACTTGGGAGGCACCAACTGACCACACTGTTGATCCAGATTCCAGATGGGCCTCCCAGGCCTCTTTCCCMCCCMCCCCTCCCACCCMAGATGGAGTCGGAGCAGGACAGGAGCAGAGCTGCTCATCCCCCATCTGAGGGGGCTTTGCTCCTGTCATTTGGGGAAAAAGAGGATGAACGTGTTGCAAAGCCATGCAGGTTCCTTGACGCTCACGGAGGAGGTAAAAGAAAGCAGAGAGGTGACAGAAAGGGACAAGTTAGTGGGCTGGGGATGTGGCTCAAGCGGTAATGCGTGTGGCCCTGGTTTGATCCTCAACACCACATACCAACAAAGATGTTGTGTCTGCCGAAAACTAAGAAAAATAAATATTAAAATTCTCTCTCTCTCTCCCTCTCTCTCTGTCTCTCTCTTTAAAAAAAAAAGGGACAAGTTAGTGATGGAAAGAAGTGACTTGACTTCAAGGACCCTCCCCCTCTCTGGGAAGCTCCTTCCACTACCTAGGACTTTCTGGGTCTGCGAGAAGCCCCTCCCCACATTCCAGGCTGGACCCTAGATTGGTCATGAGAAATCAGAAGCAAGAGGAGAGTCTCTGGGATGGAGCAGGAGGCTCAGGCGAAGATAGGATTTGCTTGTGCCAGGCTAGGAAGTAACTTCTTCCATGTTGTTTCCAGAAAAATCAAGGTTCTACCCAATACTTGATACTGTGCTCCAGGGTCCACTTACCAGAGACGGTAATATTCTTGGTTGTGGTCCTATTAAGGTTAGTGACAGAGTTATGGGCGAAACACACATAGGATCCGCTATTATTTGCAGAGAGGTTGAGGATTGAGAGCTCCTGTGTGGATTCCAGGTGCCTCCCATTGAAAAACCAAGAGAACTGAGCAGGCGGGTTAGAGTCTGCGTGGCAGGAGAGGTTGAGATTTGTCCCTGAAGGGAAATGTGAGTCTGGGGGGTATATGATGGGGGCATCCGGGCCATCTGGACAAAGAGAATAAAGCCACATGTAATGTCATCAGAGAGAAGGGGAAGTTCCTAGACTGTAGAAGGCCACAATATAACTACTAATCCATGTCACAACCTTGTTTATTTTAAAAGTCGCAACTAGGCTGGGGAGTACAGTGGTACAGCACCTGCCCAGCCTGCAAAAGGCCCTGGGTTCAAATCCCAGCACCATACACACTCGCAGAAAGTCTGAACCAAACCCCTTTGTTCACTGAAATTAGTCTGTGACATTCCCCTGCTTCTCTGTCCCAGGTGGCTGACCCCAGGCCTCTCTAGGGAACCACAAGCCCTCCCCTCCTATTCATGGCCCAAGGCTAGGCCTTCCTGGATGTGCCTGGGGCTATTTTCACTGCCAGTCCAGGTGCCCAGGAGAGAGGGTCTGTGTACTCGGACCCGAGAGGGACTAAGTGGCCCAGCCTCTGGCCCTGTGTATTTGAGTTCACAGCCAGGGTAATGGAGGAATAGAAGTTACTCACAGGAAATATTCAGGGTGAGTGGGTCACTGCGGCTGGCACTCACTGGGTTCTGGATTTCACACTCATAGGGTCCTGTGTCATTCCTTGTGACATTGAATAAAATGAGAGTCCTGTTGTTGTTGGACAGCTTCAGCCTGTCACCATCTGGGATCGTCTGACTGTTTATCTTCCACAGGTAGGTCGCATAATTAACCTCAGGTTCACACGTTAATGCTAGAGAGTCCTCACCCTCCATGGGTTGGGAGTTGTTGATTGTGATGTTGGGTTTGGGTAATTTTTCTGTGCAGACAACAAAGAGAGGATTGCCCTGTGATCCCCGCAAAAGCGTCTTTCCATCTGAGCTGGCCTGTTACCTTCCACCAACCTGAGTCCTGAAGAACCAGGCAGAAGTGGGTATCCTGGGCAGATGCAGGAGGAGGATCTGAGGGATCAGAGGAGGTGGGGCCCCCTGGGCTGTGTCTGGGAGAAGCCCAGAGTTTCTCACAGGTGCACTTAATTGCAGAGTTTGGTCCTGGACAGACCCAGGACTGGGAGTTAGCAACCCTGTGTCTCTCCTGGTCCTCGCTGGCCCTGGCTGGCCTTGAGACGCAGAGTCCCTCCAGCTGCA